ATTTTATTAATAAAATTATATAAAATATTACAATCTACAAAATTTTATTAATTAAATCTACCTTTATACTCTAAGTAAAACTTGTTCTACATATAAAGATATACTATATCAGCATACATTTATCTTATAGTTTTAAATTTTAAGAAAAAATATGCTTAATCTTGAAATTTTGATTAAAAATTCAAAATTAAGCAACTTTCTTTTATTAAAATTTAAAATCATAAGTAATCATATATCAATATAGTGTATTTTTATATATATAACAAGTTTATTTAAAACATAAAGGTAGATTTAATTAGTGAAATTTTGTAAATTTTGATATTTTTTATAATTTTATTAATAAAGGGAGTGTCTATTTTCACCATGGTAGTTTGCTATTTTTACTATTGTTACACAAAATTACTATTTTTAGCATTTATATATATTTATATAGTAAATTATTAGTTTTTTAAAAATTAAAGATACTTTATAGCAATCTTTTCCTGATGATTACTTGGCACAAAAATTAGTAAGAAAAAAAAGCATTCATTTACCAATTTACAAGGCAACACAATAGTGCTAAATACTACCAGACAATCAAAAAAGACAGAGACACAAGGTAGTTCTACAATATCTAGTCGACTTGCAAGTGAGAAAGAGCAAAACTCCAAAAAACACAGTTCGAGCAATTTCAAAAGCAGAATATGATAAAATTAAATAAAAGACTGTATAAGCAATAAAGGTTAGTTCTGCAGTAGAAGAAGCTTAGATAGCACATCAAATACATTATTTTTCAACACAGAAATATCAAAACACGAAGGCTCTCTAGTTCTTAAAAATATCGCTTGATTCTTTAATTTTAGGGAAAATAGCATTGACCCTGTAGTGTAGATCTTTGGTACAATACAAGATTATCGCACAAAGCCACACAAAGATATACAAAATTCAACAACTTACAGTTCATATAAAGATATATAAAAAACACATAAAAACACATAAAATACATGCTTTAATTGAAATCTAAATCACAGTTAAAGAGTTATATTAGATATCATTCTGGTATACAAATCATGTGATAGAAACAATACTAGCACTCTGAAAGTACAGAAACTTCTTCAACCAAACTGATGAGGAGAAACTAGCATTATATAAAGAACAAAATTCAATCTTAGTTGAAGAGAACAATCATATTGCAAATTTTTTAGGTTCTAAAAATATATATTTTATAGCAATTTTATGTGAGGTTGTTGAAAGGTATAATTGGGCTCGAAGCAAAAAGTTTAAACAGAATACACTATCTGACGAGGAGAAAATTCTACTAGGGCATAACAATAGTATTGAGTTAATACAGAAAAAGAACAATAAACCTAATCTAAGTTCCACAGATATGGAAATTAATTATATGAAACCTGTAACTATATCTGAAAATTATGGCAATAACACATCTTGCAACAATAATGGTACCTCTCGTAAAAGAAGTCTAGTAGAACAGAAAAATAGTAGTAACTCAACTGAGCATAATCAAAAGACAAAGGTGGATACACTTATTCAAAACGAGGTTGATACATTAGACTATAGTCTTGAAGAGATTTTAGCTAGTAGCAAAGTAAGGTTCACAAAGTTGGAAGACAACTAGAAAAGACCCAAAAAACAAGAGGATATTTATAACTCAATATGGGCCCCGAGTGGCAAATATATATCAGAAAAATATAAACATGAATCACTATATTTTTTTACTTTGTGGGACCTTCCAAGAAATATGAGTGGTGAAAGAATTAAGAAATTTCTTAGATATTTCGGGGAAGCAACAATACTGGCATAGCAACACAACTTTACCACCAAAGCAGCTTTTATCAAGATCGCATCAAGCATAGAGAAGGGAAAAAACTTCTTAAAAGAAAATTAGTCAATACATTTGGACCAGGGTAAAACTTACCGAACAATATCTGGGAAATTCAATATTAAAGAATTAGAAGAATGAAACAGATTCAAAAGCACAATCTACAATGTATCAACATCCGCCTTTGACAGTTTGCTTCTCAGACAGTTAAAAAGATTCAAGGTACAGGCAGTACATATATTAAATAATCAAAATGAGAATCAGTGCAGAAAGGTATATGTGTAATTTATCAAGATTAAAACACATGATAATTTCATCAAATGTAAATTCACAATTTGCACATTCAATAGTTAATATTTCTTTTAGACAAAATTTTATAATATTTTTAAATTGTATTTTTTTAAGATCTTTACCAAGTAAAATATTATCAAGTGTAACAACTTCTTTTTTTGCTAAATCTGGATCACAAATTTCTACAATATGAAATTAAATTGTCATTGGACTTAATAAAGGAGTAATGACTGTATTGCCTTTCTGTGTTGGTAAATTTATTGTATTTCCTTGTGTTGAATTATGATATGTTGTTATTTTATGAATTGAAATATCATGTAATTCCAATTTATTAAATGGTGTTGTATCTGTTTGAAACAATCGATGATAATACAATC